AAATGTTAAAGAGACTCATCTAAGAAAAAGATAAAGAATATGAACAGTAAAATGACAACAAACTCACAACTGTCAACAAATAAATCTAAAACAAAAACAAAAATAAACTAAGCAAACAACTAGAACAGGAACAGAATCACAGAAATGGAGATCACATGGAGGGCTATCAGTGGGGAGTTGGGCAGGGAAAGGGGGAAAGGGTGCAGAGAATAAGTAGCATAAATAGTAGGTACAAAATAGACAGGTTCAGAATAGTATAGGAAATGTAGAAGCCAAAGAACTTAGATGTATGATCCATGGACATGAACTACAGGGGGAGAATGTGTGTGGGAGTGGGTGTGCAGGGTGGAGGGGAATAAAGGGCTGGGGAATGGGACAACTGTAATAGCATAATCAATAAAATATATTTTTAAAAAATAAAAAGAAAGCTGCTAAGAGAGTTGATTCTAAGAATTCTCATCACCAGGAAATAATTTCTTTTTATTATATCTAAATCAGACGATGGATGTTCATTCACACCCATACAGGATGGGGCAAAAGTAGGTTTACAGTTGTTCTTATGGAAAATAATGCAATCATTAATAAAGAGTAACACACGAATACACTGTTTTGTGTGCTCACCACTGTAAACCTACTTTTGCCCCATCTGTTCATGTAAATCAAACCATCGTGCTGCACAACTGAAACTTACACAGTGGTGAATACCAATTATTTCTCAATAAAACTAGAGAAGTTCTTTGGAAAACTTGGCAAATGAAAAAAGAACTGATGTGTAGCATTTGGCAATTTCTGTGGTGTAAAAACTCCTGCCACGGCCAATTTCAAGCTCCCGATGTCGTGCCATTGAAGGCAGTTGTAAAGAAGTGAGCGACAGCACTCTATGCAGTATGCCCACCATACAGACACACTAGACAAACATGACCTCAGGACCTCAGATGGTAGCACAATGTAGGACTATAATTAAGATATGATGTATTGTGATTTTTTTGCTACCTTGAAAAATATAATTTATTTGAATATGTTTACGTAATTTAATTTTTAATGTTGGCTATGGGTAATAACTGATTCACAACATTTCTGCGAACCTAACAGTTGGCTCTTGTGAGCTCATGCGAGCCAGCTTCGACACCGCACTGCTTCTTAGTCACTGTCATCAGCTCAGACATGTGACATTTCGGAGCAGACCACCGCAGTCTTCCTCCTGGTTAGCCTTATGATGGTAATAAACCTTGCCCTGTGCATCTCTCCCATTTGGCTTTTCCCTTCAAATAAACTGGTAACAAGCTGTTCCCTGATAGTGATGGGCACAGGCCTCATGCCTTTGCAATGGCTCAGGGCCCTGGTTACTGTGTCTTTCTCCACATGGGAAGGCCTTTTGAGAGTTTTGCCTATGCCTTGTTTCTACTGCGATGTCTACACCACGGGTGGTGACAGGTTCAAGGTCAACTGATGAGTCCTGCATTTAACTACAACATTCTAACTCTGACATAAGCTCGAACAGGTTTGTTTTTTTTTTTTTTGTAATGGAGAAGGAAGGCGATTCAGATCCTTGCAGGCCTTCCTCAAGGTCTATCTTGAATGATTATCATTCATTATTGTTCTGATTATGAATGTAAACTATGAATTGATGAATATAAATTATGAATAGCAATAACTGCTTGGATTATTGTTATTCTGATTTGAATTTTTAGATTTGTTAGTTTAGAAAAGGTTGATATTGTTTTCTTCCCAGTGCTTCCTACATAATCTGGTCCAGCCTGTCTGGTTCACTCATATATGAAACATCGAGAGCCTCCAGGTGCTGGTCCTTTGTGTGGGTCAGGAGAATAAAACCGGCACCCATGAGATGCTTTGGAGTTTTTGAAGTGCCTTACCTTTGTCACAGAAGAACTGCAGAGCGGTTCAAAGATGGCCTCAGATCAGAGAGAGCTGGATTTGAATCACCACTTACAGATATGTGATCTTGGATAAATTAGTTAATCTCTGTTTTACAGTTTCCATAAAAGTAGCACCTAGTAATGGGGTTGTTCGTGTGCACATTAAATGAGATGATGCACGAAAAGCACAAGCACAGAGCTTGGCAAACAGCAGGGTCTCAATTCAAACAATCAATCAAACAAACAGCCTGTTGTAGGCAGCAGGTAACACTATTTTCCCACTGGGATGAGTCAGCTAAGAGGTTAAAGACTTGCCCACAGTCACACGATCAGCAAAGGACAGAGGCAGGACTGACATCAAGACTGACTCCTTTACGGCATGTAGAGGGCTGACTTTATGTAGTATACACACATGCACGTGTGCACATGCATGCACAGGCACCTACACACATCAGAATAACAAGTGGGAAATGCTTTGCATGATGTTTACTAACCCTCTGCCCCCAGCCCAGAATGCCAAAATTTAAAAAACTTCCCAGACTTAGGACTGACTGGTTCTGCTGGGCCTGACAGATAAATTATTGTTCTTGCCATAGTTCATCTGCAAGATGGTGCTAACAAAACTGTCTGCTAGTTAACACAAGGATTAATTACATCTTTTCACTGTGCTTTGGATTCCTTGAAGAAACATGCCATGTGTGTGGCAGGCATCCCAGTAGGGTGGTGATCCTGTGTGACTGTTACAACAGAACGGTACTGAGTCACCAGCCCCCTGTCTGTTAGCATCACTCAGCAGCTCAGTGCCAAGCTCAGTGCTAGGCAATACCGTGCCCTTAATTGCTGGTCTTTCTCCAATTTTTTAAAGTCATTTTTTTAAAGGAGAAACAATAGGAAATGTACTTCAACTATAGCAGGAAAGATATAGTTAAGGTCATCTTTCCTACTTCCCAATCTCTCTAAAGTTTATGACATTGAACCTGTTCCTTTCTGAACACATCTTTCTACGTATATTTAAAGTTAATGTTTTTGCCCTGGCTAGTGTGGCTCAGCGCATCGAGCACTGACCTGCAAACCAAAGGGTCACTGGCTCGATTCCTGGTCAGGGTGCATGCCTGGGTTGGGGGCTAGGTCCCCAGGAGGGGACTAGTGACAGGCAACCACACACTGATGTTTCTCTCCCTTTCTTTCCCCCTCCCTTCCCCTCTCTCCGAAAATAAAAATCTTTAAAAAAATTTTTTTAATCTTAAAAAATCTTTTTAAACAGTTAACTTTTAAACACATAGGACATATATTGGGGGCAACATTTAAAAGGTAGAAAAGGACTTGCTATAAAATGTCTCTTTCCCACTCTGTCTCCCCAGACTGAGTTTCCCTTTCCAGAGGTGACCGCAGTTTCAAGCAAACACTGAGTGTAGACGTGTCTTCTGTGCAGCACAACCATGCAATAGCATAGTGTGTACATTGCACTATCACTTGTCTACTCTTAATCCTCTATGTTATTAGAGATTGTTCCATTTTGGAGTACACAAAGTAATTTTTTTCCTAAAAAGTTTGCATAGTATTTAATTATATGGATAAGCTGTAGTTTGTAACCGGTGTCTTGACAGATATTCAGCTGTTTCCAATCTTTAATTTCAAAAAATGAAGCAATGACTAGCCTTGCAATATAAAAATAAGCTGGAGTCTATCTAAAGCTTAAATTCCTAGAAATACACTTGAATATTGCCAAACTGCATGCCAGAAAGACTGTACCCATTCATATTCTTATCAATAATTCATGAGAATGCCTATTCTCCCACATCTCTACATTTTTTCCTAGAATTTAGCCTGGTATCATTGCTTGATGTTAATTAACCCTTTTTACACATAGCCCTGCTTTGCTTTCAGCCTAACAAAGCAAATTGAAATTTTACCAAAACTTCACTGTGCCTCATAATCCAATAATGGCTCCTCTTTTATTTGGTGAGATGGCACAGGTCCCTCACGCGCAACCTCCTTGGCTGCGGCAAGAGAATAAATCTAAGTAGACTACTGTGTATTCCTCGTGGTCTTTATTGAATGGCTTTATTAGTCTTAAGCTGTAGGACCTACATTACATATGAAAAGTTCTATTCCACATCTTTTTTGATTCTTCTAAAAAGAGATGGATTCTCATCTACCTGTATTTTAAGTTCTATCTCATGCACTAGATCAGTGATTTTCAATCCCTGATTGAATCACATAACTAATTGCTAAAATTTTGCAGCACACCAAAAATGTATTTTGTTGACGTGACAAAAAATAGGTATAATTTTGATTCATTCACACCAGACGGCTATTGTTGTCTTGGCTGTTGTAATGTTTTTTTTTTCAGTTGACGGTAGAGAAAAGAGGCCAGTTCCCCTAAATTGGTATTGCATGTTTGAAAAATTCTTGTGGCACACTGGTAGAAAATCGAACTAGATTAATAGTCAAGATATCTTTTTTCACTTCCTTCAACATTCCAGTCTAGTTGGAGTGGCTCTTCTCTGCGATGGTAACTCTCCAGATCTCTGCGTGCAGGGGCTGGTTCACTCCTCTGAAAAGTTCCCCCGATCATTCTCAGTTAAGGTAGCTAATTTCTCTCCATACTCCCCCACTGCCACCCGTCACTCTGCCCCATCTCCTACTTTATTTTCCATTTTTCTTACTCTCTAAAATGATCTTAATCGTTTATTATTTTTCTAACCTTATTAAACTGTAAGCTCCAGGAGCGAAGGTAACCACGACAGCTTTGAGCGCTGCAGCACCTCCGGTGTCTAGAATTCCACTCGGAACCTAATAAACACTCAACAAACATTTGTGGAATGAATGAACAAATAATAAGGAATGATGTGCTTTATTTACCTTCTTCCCCATTAAACATCGCTCAAGTGGACCTACTAAAATTTCCGTGAATTAGGTGGAGGGCGGTCAGCTTCACCTTTGGCTGGAGTTTTAGCCGTTGCTCCTGGCAACTTCTGTTTTCCACCTGCGGTGTCACCACCCCGTATGGCCCCGCCTCTCATTGCCTCGTTCTCGGACCAGCGAGCAACCGCCCAGTGATAAAAAACTGTACTTGCCCTTTAAGCGGCGGGACTTCTGGTCAACGTCCTCTCCGTCTGCCGGAAGAGGAAGTTTCGCCTCCAAACGCTCTCCCGCTGGTCCGAATTCGGTGGCGCCACGTCCTCCGGTCTCCGCCTTCTGCACGGCGACCTGGGCTGCTTCCGCCTCGACACCTTCCACTGACGGTGACGGCCGCGTCGTGTCGTGAAGGGGCTGGGAGGGGGAGTCGGACGGCTGTGTGCATCCTGGCCAGCTAAGAGGCGAAGATGTCGGACATCGGGGACTGGTTCAGGAGCATCCCAACCATCACGCGCTACTGGTTCGCCGCCACCGTCGCGGTGCCTTTGGTCGGTAAACTCGGGCTAATCAGCCCGGCCTACTTCGTCCTCTGGCCCGAAGCCTTTCTCTACCGATTCCAGGTACTGACCAGCGACCGGGGAGTAGCGACTACAGGTCCCAGGCGGGTCCGCGGCGGAGCGTAGACCGGCAGGTGGCGAGCGCGCAGTGCCTCGTGGGATTTGTAGTGCGACCGCTCCAGCAGTTTAGGGCGGGGTTCTGTGGTCCGGGGGCGGGGTGGTGGCTAAGGGGTCTGGAGCGACGGCCGTGTTGGCTCCGGGCGTGGAGGCTTCTGTTTGGTCCGGCGAGGGGACTGATTTCGTTTTTCTGTTATTATTGTGCTTCTCGCTCTCTGCAGTCAGAGAAGGAGGCAGTGGGGAGGGAGGTTTGTGAGAGTTGTGAGACTGTTGGACACGGGTGATAGCTGCGTGGGTTTACCTGTAGCTGGTGCCCTCTGACCTTTCTCTGCCACGTCGGTGGCCTGTGACTGTCAACTTACCCAACATCCGGCTGAGTTCCTTTTAAGTTAATGGGTTTTTTTTTTTCCCCTGTAGGAGTGATTCGAGGTCAGAGGTGCGAAGAGTGAGTTTCTTTATCTTCCTTTCCATGCCCCGAAAACTTTGTTAGTATCTGGCGTGTAGAGCTTGAATATGCGAAGGAAGGAGTAAAGAGTAAATTATTCCCTAAATGGAAGGCCTTGTTATTTTTTTTAAGCACGAGAGAAACAGTCCAGTATAACGTTACTGGCAGGAGAATATTAGTTTCCTGGAGATTGTCTTTATTCTCTGGATTCTGTGACTTAAATCTTTAATCAGTGGCAGGTCAGATACTAAGATCTCACATGAATTTCAAGTCATGTTACTTGGCCTGTGGATAGTATTCTTTTGTTGCTCTCTTTTTACCGACGGTTTATTAATGTCGTCTGCTGTTTCTTCATCTTCATGACCTTTGGATGTTGTCATGAGCCCCGGGGACCAGCTAAAGGACCTCTTCTCTACACTCTCCCCAGCCGTATTTGATCTCATTTGGCTTCATGGCTTTAAGTACTTTTTATAAACCGAAGACTCTCAAATACAGATATACCTATGTGATCTGTCCCCTGATTTCTAGAGTTGTACATCCAGCCATCTATTTGAAATTATCACTGGGGTGACCGATAGGTATCTCAAATGTAGTGTGTCCCAAACTGAAAGCCCTTTCTCCCTTTGCTCTAGAAGGAAATGGAAACGCCATTACTGCAGGAGCTCAAGCTCACAGCCCTGGAGTCGTCCTTGATTTCCCTTCCTCTTAGGCACCTCAGACTGTCAGCAAATTCTGTTTACTTCAGGTGTATAACCAGAATACAGTCCCTTTTCATTCTCTACTGTGAGCCATTACCCTTCCAGCCTGTTCCTTTCATCTTTTCTGTAGCTGGAGGGATCCTTCTAAAACATAAATCAGGTCCTGCCAGTCCTTTGCCCAGAACCCTGCAGTGTCTTCTCAACTTGATGAGTAAAATTAAGTCCTTTTTGTGGCCAGCACCATCCCTACCGCCTCTCACCTAATCTCCTGCTGTGTCCATCTTGTACATTAGGCTCCACACTGGAGGCCTAGCTGTTCCTCAGCAGCTACCTGGGTCTCTCCTTGGATCTCTTTACACATGTTTCTCTGCTTGAGAGAGAGAACCATGGCTTACCTTCTTACTGCCTTCAGGTCTTTGCCCAAATACCACCTTATTTGGAAAGCCCTTATTGATTGCACAGCATAAAATAGTGCCCCTCCATTACGTTGTCTCACTTACCCTTAATATTTTTTGCCACATACCACCACTTGGCATTTGTTAGTCCACTTCCCATCAGAAAATAAGTCCTCATTAGAGCCAGATCTTTGTCTTGTTTACCAGTGTCTTTGTTACCTAGAATAGTACCTGACACATAGCACACATTTGTATATTGGTTTGAGTACATGGCAGTTATTGGGCACTGGAGGTACAGTAGTAAATAGATAGAAAAAGTTTCAGCTCCCATGAAGAAAATGAGAGAGGCATGTGCTAGAGAAACTTAAGGGGTGGATCATTTGATAGAGTGCTCCAGAAGACTCAAGATTTCTGAACTGAAATCTGAATGATAGGGGTCAGTTTTGGGCGGATGTGGCTCTGGGGACAGTCTTCCCGGAAGAAGGAATAATGGTAAGCTTAGAGGCAGGCAGTAGTAACAGGAAAAAGACTGGATGAGTACAGGGTCAGCCATAGGGGTAAGGACTGGAGGTGAGGACCGAGATGGCCAGGGGTGAGTGCAACAAAGTGAGGGCGCAAAGTTGTGGTTGGGCCGGATCATAGGGCTTTGTGGCTTTGAAGATGCCAGGAAGGCTTTGGAACCTGTGAAGAAAAGACTGACAAGATTACCTTGACTACTCTGTGGGGGAGACTTGCGTGGTGTGGGGAGAGGGAGGAATCGAGTTAGGACGTAAGACGGCGTTTGGGACTCGGAAGCTGCGAAGATAGGAGTGGGTAGGTTTGGGAGTTGGAGTGGGCAAGATTGCTGCTGAATGGGTGTGAAGGGCGCGGACTCCAAGATGACCCTGTTTTCACAGTGGGTGATGGAGCCCTGCGCTGAGATGGGAGATGTTTAGGGAGCCTTAGGTTTGGAAATGGGGGAAGGTATGGGTGAGAGTTATACTTTGAATTACTTGAGAAGACTAAAATACTCTGCCCTCTGCAACTACAGATCTGTGTGAGGTCAGATTTTCTTCCTGTGTTTCAACCAAAGCAACATGTCACAACAGGTGGAATGGAGAAGTGTGAGAATCTGGCTGTCTTTCATGAAGGCAGACACTAAGGACAGTTGTAAAAGTGTAAAACATCCCTCACTCACTAATTTTACTTTTTGGAAAACTAGTTTTCATTTAAAAATCTATTTATATCAATGTTCAGTGGATTTATTATTGTCATCTTAAAAACTTAATGCTTTTCCTGGGTGTTAAAAAAAATATTTTGTTTATGTACGGCCTAGGGATGCTTTTTAGGCACCCAAGTAGAGAGAGAAGTTAAGTAGGCAGTTAGCTGTTAGAATGTGATTTGGGTTCGCAGCCAGAATTGCGTACCGTTTCTACTTTAGTTGCTTTGGCAAGTACTTGTTGACTGAGTGAACACGGGGCACCCCACGCGTGGTGGCCTGTGGGTGCTGTGCATGCTGAAGGAGCCATGGCTGTCAATCATTTTGTGGGAAAACCTGGTCAAAACTGGCTTAGACCCGCCTTGCAAAATATTGCTCGCTTGTCTAGTCAGTTAGTAAAATAAAACTTTTCTAACACACCATAGGTGTATAATGTTAAAAGTGATGAACAGATTAGAAAGAGTTGTCATTTATGTCACACCTTCCATGATTTCCTCATCTTCTTTGCCTCGCTTCTTGGGGGCTTATTATCCCGAGACTGTGGGCAGGCAGGAGGCAGGACAACGCACTGCTGCCCAGGTGTGAAAGGACCTATCTTTAAACCTTTCTGCGGCTGTGACTCCTACCCATTGTGGACAAGTTTAGCTCTTTCAGATCCTGCTAGAGGAGCTTGTTTGCAAATGAAGCTGTTGGAGGAAAGATTGCATCTGAGAGGCTGAGGTGTGAGGACAAACAGCGGGTAGTGTGCTTCCTGCTGCTGGCTCATCTTTTCTTCAGAAGCTGGGTCTTCAACAGCTGAAATAAAGCTGGGGCGACTGATTTAGATTTGTGGATTTATGTTGCAGGTGACAAGTGTTTTTTCCCTCATCTGTGCCCTCTGAGTACTTGTTGGTTTGGAACTCCAAGTGTTACTCCTTACTTTGGATAGGTGGAAACATATGGGCGTGTTGTCCACTGTTCCTAGTGCCTCACACTTAACACCATTAACAAACAGTTCACTGTGGGAGATGTCTTCATATTGGTCCCTGATTCACTAGAAGAGAGGTTGCAATTTCCCACTGCTCTCGTGGTTTCTGAGATTATATCTCCCATGGCTTCCTCCATGGTGGTGGTTTATTTCTCTGGATAGAGTAACAGCAGCCCCTTCCACCTGAATTGTGCTTCCCCATATGTTACCTCATTACGCCCCCTGGGAGGGCGCCACAGACAGCCTGGCATCAGTGGTACCCCAGTTCGTAGCCAGCTGCCGTTTTGGTTTCTGCTTCCCTAAGTGGAAGATCTTACCTCTCATTTGACTCCTTTGCAAAATACCTACCGAAACACATAGGTAAGCATTTAACGTTGTTGAGAGTGAGTGATTCTTCCCAGTCAGTGATTGCAAATTGTTTTTCCTTTTCTGTAAGTGGAAAGACTGGGATTTCAAGTAGTTGACTCATGGTTTTGGGGCCTGATGTAGCTCCTCACTGGTCGCGTACCCTTAAAGGGCGAGCCATTTACCCTTGCTGAGCCTTAGTTTCTTAGTTACTAAATACATGTGTGTAATAAGCACCCAGATCAAGAAACAACATTATTTTAAAATGGGTATAATTTACTACCATATTAACTCTGTTCTGATGGTTCACTCTGTTGTAACTCCATTGATTATAAGACACTCCATCAGTGTAATACAGCTTTGGAGGGGGAGGAACGTAGAATTTACATTTAATGAATATATTGATAGTAAGATACATCCTGATTTTAGAAACACAAAAATTGTATGTTCAAATTGAGGAACTATGTTACCTACTTTATTCCTCTATTATATAAAAAAGATAGAAAAATATTTGTAAAACCCCAGCAAATAGTCTGGTAAATAATTTATTCAGAAATAATGCCACTTTTATTTAATAGCCAGCAATAATTCCTGTTACTACTGCCTTCTCTTTGTGAGCAGTAAGAGTCTAATTTTTATTTGTACTTGAAGTTGAAATGTAACTGCTGGATTATTATCTTTTTTTTGCCCCCTTAAAAGTAACCTGACTTGAGATGGGAAGATACGAACTCTCAAGTTGTTTCTTTTTTTTTTTTTTTTAAATATTTTCTTTATTTATTTTTCGAGAGAGGGGAAGGGAAGGAGAAAGAGTGGGAGAGAAACATCAATGTGTGGTTGCCTCTCATGCGTCCCCTGCCCGGAACTGGCCTGCAACCCAGGCATGTGCCCTGACTGGGAA